TGTTGCGTCGATCGACACCCCACCAAAAATCCTATTTTTGGATCACGGGCGTTACATTGACTCTGGGATATTGGTTAAGAAAATGACTAATACCACTACTAGAACCACCAGTGCTTCCGCTTCCTACTATTATTGACTCTAGGATATGGATCGAGAATATGACTAATACCACTAATACAGCGCACCACTGCTTCAATCTCTACACGCACCATGCACCCTTCTGAGATCATCACTATTTCTATTCCCATTGCACCAAATACTACACCTACTACTTCAAATATCTTATCTTCTCCTTTGATTACAAGTGACATTAGCAAAAGCAATTCCACTACCTTGGTCTTGTCAAAAGAGATCTCTACTTGCCAAAAAGTATCCCCTCCTACTATTCAAGAAGAACATAGTATTCGTGGGTCCAAACCGGTGCAAACCGGTGTCTCTTTAGAGGATGATGACGAAACTTAGGTATCAGAAGAAGATCCTAACCCGTTGGATCTAATGACTCCGTCAGGCAATAGAATCTTTAGAGAAAGACCTGTTGAACCGTCAACAAATGCTAAAGATATGCAATTGCATTTCGAATCGGCTCCGCATATGAATCGTGATCGTGGTAAAAGTGGTCATGGTTTCTTTATCTATCGTTTAAAGATTGTCGCTTGGAAGAGAGAGAGTGTACAGACATTTTTGGTTTTACACACTCCAAATTAAAGGGAAAATAAAAAGTAGTTTTGCTATTTTACAAAATTTTCTTTATCTAGAGTGAACGCATAATGAAGTTTGAAACATTCTTAATCTCAAGATGCAAAGTGAAAAGGCCGTAGAAGCATTCTTAATCAGAAGATGCAAAGTAAAAAGGCTTGTACTTGGATTTGGGCCGTAGATTTTTTCAAGCAGATCAAATCTCCCTCTACTTTTCAATTTTCATCAACTTACCAAAGTGGACTTGGTTGGATTAACATAAAGAAAAAATATAAGCCGAGTGCTAAGTTGCCATTCAAGAAGAAGAATGAATAAGAAAGTGACTCATTGTTTCACGTCAGAAGCAAAGTCTCTTGGACATGTGTAAGCATGTGATTGGCTGGTTAGTAACACAAGAGGAAGAAGCTCTCGGTCAGACCAAAATCAAAAACTATAAGTCAACAGAGTCAAACAAGAGAAGAATACTTGTCTTAAAATTTTCCTTATAAGGATATAGTCATAGTACACACTGTGGTTTCCTCTTTTCCTTTGTAAGCAAATGACTTATCAAGTGTTGAACTCTGAGGCAATCCAACTTAATTTTTCTTTTTCTTTTGTAAAGATTCTTTCACACTTGAATCGTTTTCCACCTCTTTAAAAGGCCGAAGATGTGTTAAGAGTCTAAATACCAAAATTTACAATTGGGGAACTCTCTAAAGCCTTTCGAACAACAACCTCCTTTGATGGCTTACGAGCCTCTCATCTCTGTTTCAGGTACATCTCTCATCTTTTTTAAATGCATTTTACTTTTGTTACGTAACTTAATATGAAAAGTTGAGGCAGAAAACGAGAATCCGAGAGTCTTCAGCTTCGGGGACTTGAAGAAAGCAACCAAGAAATTTAGACAAGAGATGGTCATAGTTGGCGACGATTACTCTGTTCGAAATTCTACAAGGGCTACATCGATAAGATCACATTTGCTCCATCAAGAATTGAAACCGGAATGGCTGTTTCTGCCATGGATTGTGATAGTTTACGCCCTCTAGAATACTGGAAGGTACACTGGAAGGTAAGCA